CTGCCTCGTTGGCGGAGTGATCGTAAGTGTGGGGCAAGCGGTCTTGGTTTCGATTCCCGGGTCGGGCAAAATATTACTGGGTTCTAAAAAATTTCATTTGAGCGCGAAGTCTGGAATTATGCCTGGTATATGGCAATAGGCTCACCACCCGTAATATGGGACTTATAACATAAATAGTGAAAAATGGGTTTTACATTGTATTGTGTTACATTAAGTGCCGTAATGTGCACCTCGGTCTATCCCTTCGGGGATAAAGGGCGTGATGTCAGGTTATGTAATATACTACTACAGAAGTAAATAATCAATTTCATTTCATTATACAAAATGATTTACACCGAGCAAGGAACAAAACTCAGGAATTACTGAACCTATTTCGCTAATGGTGTTTGAGAGTTACAGAGACCGTATTTTTTAACTACTAGTTAGAACTAGTTCATAAAAGAAACTAAAACTTTATAAACAACGTTAAAAAAACGAACTCAACCTCCTTTTTTTGAAGTCTGTTAATTCATATACTAAAACCTTCTCCTAAGTGTAACAAACACTTATCTGAAAACTGCAAATAGCGAAGAGGTCAAAATGAGAACCTCTTTTTTTGAACTCGTTTAATATGCCTGTGAGCTAACCTTTGGTAATCCAACTTCTCACATAATTAAGCATTCTTACTATCCAACAACATAGTTGCAACAATGTAATACAAACTCCTCAGCGATCTTTTTACCCCATTCTCAAGCATAAGTGGATAACTTAAATTATTACTCGATAAACTTATTTTAGACAGATAACTAACCACTTGGTTAATGTAAACTGACAAGCTTGTGAAGTAACTGTTCGTAAATTATCATTCTAAACTAGATAGGTACTATCATTATATATAATTATTATTAATTCGTAATTATTATGTGTGTTTGTTAAACTATGTAACATGTATGTAAGGCTGCTTTGTATGCAGAGATAAGTGCTTATAGCTTTAGTACAAGGGAATAAATTCTTTGATATGGTTTGAAGAAGTGCAATAATAACTACTTTTCTTTAGGTGTCGCTTGTCTTGACAGAGATCTCTTAATGCTTAGTTATTTGTTTGTCTACTTCATTCTCTTTTATAGGTGGTCGTGCTTATGCCTTATTTACTCGTTACACTTTATTATCGTCCTTGTCATAGATAATATCAGCTATCATATAACGTTATATACCCTTTCTCTCTTTCGTTTTTCATATAAATATTTGGAGCTTCCTGCTCATTCTTTCCTACTCGAATCTACTTTTTGGAACGAGCACCTAGATTCACTGACGGACAGACTGATAGACTATCTATTTCATATTTATCGACGTTTCGAAAGTACCAAATTATGGTTTAATAGAAATAAATGCTTTTGAGTTTGAATTTATTTAATTGTACGTTTTGTTCAGTAGCTAAGCCGGCTACTGGGCACGAATAACATGTCGGTCAATTCACAAATTGTCATTGCTAGGTTTAACGACTAAACGCGAAATTGATATAACTATGGCACCGACCACACAAAAGAAAAGTGTTCGTGAACAAAAAAATAAAATAAAAACAATTCTTCATTCACACGATATTTATATCTTACACACAACTAAAAGCCCTATCATTAAGTTTGTTTACCTATAGGAACGTCATTAGAAGCGTTATGTAAAAGCTAGTTTTTTCTCGATGTGACCAGTCGTATAGGCTATAGGCACAGCCCTGTAATAAGAAAAATAAGATATAAGGCACACAGGGTTGAACAAACGGCGGATCGAACGCTCCTTATTTGTAAACATTGGTAGCACTCGATATTTTAAGTCTAGTGTGCAGTGTGGGCTGTACTATTATATAGTATATTGTAGGCTGTTGTTTGAATTGTATTGGTAAAAATGTGGATGTGTTTTCATGCATAAGTACTTTTAATTATTTTTGAGAGACTGTGAGTAAATTACAACATTTACGGGTTATTACCAGGTCACTGTTTTTGTAAGTGAACACCAATCGCAATTTCGGGAAAATCGATAGCGTTTGAAATTTTCCCCGGTGTGTTTTAGAAGAATTTTATTCGGAATTTCATAAAGTATTAGCGAAAAGGTGTGTACCTTATTTCATCACCACCATATCAATCAGATCAAAGACAAAATGACTCATTGATAAATAAATAAGTGTGGCAGAGCCATGCTTCGCCACAAATAGGCCAGCTCGACCGGAGCGATACCACGGCCTCACAGAAAACCGACGTGAAGCAACGCTTGCGTTGTGTTTCGTCGTGTGAGTGAGCTTACCGGAGGCCTAATTACCCTCCCCTTTCCCAATCTCCCCAATTCCTGAATCCCCAACGATCCTCAAACTCCTAATCCCCAAAAGGCCGGTAACGCACTTGTAATGCCTTTGGTGTTCCAGGTGTCCATGGGCGACGCCAATTGCTTACCATCAGGCGATGCGTCTGCTCGTTTGCCAGCTTATGCGATAAAATAAAAACACACACACAACATTCTCCTAGTAACTTCAAGATTAGCCAATTGGAAGCCCTGATTTTATTTATTTAAAGTATACCTAAGCTTTAAATAATAAAACGTAGCTAGCAGTGTGCGATAGTCCTACGAGTTTCTATACTTCGACATCTTTTTGCTTGCGCGTCTAGTCGCAGGCTGATCGGAGATCCGCGGGTAGATTACTGTTCTAGTTGACAAACGGTTTAAATGGCTAGGTACTAGCTTTAGAGTGTAAGCAGAAGTGTGAGAAATCTTAGAGTCTTTGGTAACTGGTGTCTGAGTGTTAATTTTGAGATGATACTCGTACTCGGTTTAAACTTTGAAAAGTTAAAGTTTTGAAAGAAAGACTGATTCATTCTCTAATATCAACCTCACATTACAATTAGAAATACACCGAATTCTAAAATTTCAAAATACAAGCCTGCTTTGCTGCACACGATTTTTTTATGGAATAAGGTGATAAACGAGCAGATGGATCACCCGATGGCAAGCAAGCGTCGCCCATTGAGACCCGGAACACCAGAAGTACCACAAGTGCGCCACCGGCTCTTCAGGGATTAGGAATTCGAAGACTGTTGGGGATTCAGGGATTGGGAAGATTAGAAAGGAAGGAAAGGGCCTCCGGTAACCTCACTCACACGACGAAACACAAAGCGCGCTGCTTCATTTCACGTCGGATTTCAGTGAGGCCTTAGTATCACTCAAGCCGGCCTTGCGTGAATTTTCTTGTAGTTGTCAGATAAGTAAGGCCTCCTATACGACTTCCAAGTTTCATGTTGCACAAGCCAAATCATACAGAACCCACACCCACATCTAGCATCTATTCTATTGAATTTTATGTTTCTATATGTTTCTATAACCGGTTGTAAGCTATCGTGTGAAAATAATACTCGGCTACATACCTACCTAAGACTCGCTGTGACAAACGCCTTCCATGGTCCTAGAGGCTCTAGGTTATGTGGTCCGTGTGTGTGCAATGGTCAACCACCCTTCACCATCATAATTTTCAATTAAAGGTGTGAAATGTTCGACAGGACTATTTTACGGTTTACTTGTTAGCTATTTGATGTCGTTTTTAGTATTGTTTTGTTTATCGGGCTGTGTGAAGCTTTATTGGCATTTTTGGAATTCTCTGTGGGATCACAGTGTATTTGAAATTTCAGGTTGTCCTATTGGCTTACTTCTACCTATGTGTAGTAATTCGTTTTACAGTAGATATCTATGTTCAATGGTGGAAGTCTTATAGACGATAAAGATACTGATGATGAGATTATTCAACGAAAAGATTAGGGGACAAAGTTTATGTTTTATTATCGTTTCTCTTTGTATTAGATCAATTATAACGTCTTTATCGTCTTTGTGTTATAACCTATAATAAAAGTTAACTGTGTGCATATTACTTTCAAACTAAATGAGGTGATTTTTTAAAAAATCTGCTCACACTAGCGTAAACCCCGGTGTGGAATTCATTGTTAGCATTACCATAAATCGTACCTACTGAAATCGGACAAACCTTCCGATATATCAGTCACACGTTCGATTTATACCTATTAATTACTGTGTACAATGTTACACAGTTATCGCCACACTAAATTACCAACACCAATTAATCAGGACATTCTCGGAGTAAATTAACATGTTCCTCTTTTGTAAGTAGGTACAGATTCCAGTTCATACAGCTGTATTACAATTTCAACTTAATTAAAAGACTGCTAAAGTTTAAAATGGACTGTAAATTTTTGGCAAATCGGGGTAGTTTGACATGCTTTTGCCTGCATATCTATGTTTCTTTGCTTTTTTGTTTTAAGTCGCGTTTTTATCGATGCGTACTTGTGTAGTTATCTATGGAAATATAGTAGATTTGACTTGCTAATTGCTATTAACGTAAGTATTAGGGTGCATTTTTTAGTTCAACGTTTTTATTAAATAAGAATAATTGTTGTGGTTATTGAATTATATAGGTAAGTAGATGGTGCTTAATGGACTGTTTCGGTTACGGTTTTATCTGTTTAATTTCTATATTCTTAAACTGTCAAACACCGCGAGGACACCGGTGACCGCAACCTATTGTTCTTTAATTGTGTCTATAATGACGGTACTCAAACAGTTAATGGTAACTGATTATAAATCGCGGCTGTAGATCAATTAGTTTGGAGCAGGATTTAAAAGTTTTGAGCTTAGTGTTTCGATTGTGATCATAATAACGTGATTGGAGGGCTTAGGACGAATTTGTTCTACGTAACGAGATCGAAACGTTACTGCGTTGCCCTCTCTGATTGGTTGGTTCATTGGAACACGCCGTTGTTTTACCTTAACTTAACACCTTAACTACACCTCTGATTAGCGGGCTACAATGAACCAACAAACGTTTCGATTCAAAATCGTACTGAGCCAAAGATCGAACAGTCTCGAAAGTATTCAAGAAGGTCACATGAGACTGGTAAAAATGTTCGTTTGCTTCTTCCTGTTTAGGATTAAGGGAAAGATATAGGAAATAAAGTAAAATCAGTAAGATAATATTTATATTGTTTATTACATCAAATGCATTGCATTGTTACTTGGAAACAATAAATAATCTGGTGTGTTTTATCTTGTATAACGATAAACTATGTCTGCAATCATATACACATAAACTCTTGTTAAAATTGAAACATAAGTGGGTTTTGAAGTTGGTCCTGAAAGACGCACTATTAAACACAGTTTTAGGTTCCTAAAGGACCAATTTAAATCAAATATTAAGTAATTTATGTTATTATATTGTTTATTAATTACGAATGTAGCCAAAAATTATAAAAAGGTTTTAAATTACTTTAATAAAATAGATTTATTTGAAAAAACACAGACTCTGAAGAACGAAGCTGTCATTTTATAAAACACTCACTTATGTATTAATTTTAACAGATAATAAAAATCTATTCAACAGTTCAGAACTAATGTTCGATACACGAAGATATTGTTATCAAGCCGAGAAGTGATACTCGTAAACATAACCAAGAAACAACATAAAAATATATAATGAAAACTCTGGTCTTTGGTTCCTATACAAGCTTTGGGATACCAGCAGAGAAAAATAATACGAAATTGTACTAAACAGGCGAGGAAATGGAAACTTTATTAACAAATCTTGCGTCACTTTGCCTTAGTTTAGTTTATTGCGTTGTAAAAACAACCTTACTTGATATTTACATAAAAATTCAAATCACTGGTGCATTACATAACCATTATTTATGTACTCGCAAATAATCATTACAGTTCAACCGATCACAATACCGAAAAACGTACACTTTTTTCAAAATAGCACCAATATTTTAATATCAGCACATCGCGTGTACCAAAAAACGACTGCTGGCAACATTGTTGAACAAATTAACAGCTAGCAACACCAAACTTTATGCAAATTCGCGCGATAATATCGATACAACCCTTACTGGAGTATTTCTTAAGTATTTTAGTACATTTAAGTGTAAAATAACGAAGAGAAAATATGCACTGAATAACAGTATATGTGTCTTTGAGTACAGATGCCTAAAGTATAAAGATATGGTAAGTTAGACACTGAAGGATTATAGAGTTCGCACCTTACATCCAATCACACATCTTACAATAGAAAATATACACTTTATTCTTGTATAAATAGATATGTATTAAGGTAAAATTAATTAAACTATGGTAACACTTTGTCTACGGAATCATAGAAAATAGAAGTCAGAAAAACTTTTATATTATCTGTGAATACGTTTTTCTGCTAGTTTTTTTTTTTAACATGAAGCATATGGGTATTCTTTTTATCATTCATTCAATATTCGTAGGAATAATATTTAGAATTTAGTATTATTGTTCGAGTATCATATTGATATGATAGGTACATAACGTCTAGGTAAACTTGGCCTATACGTGATATGATATATTTTTTATTAAGAATCGTAACCAGTATTTGAAATAAATACATTATTTTCGCATAAACTAAATGTTCAAATCTATGCATCAAGTTAGAAGTAAGCGACATTTATAATTAAAATTATTCCACAAAAATTATAACAACAAATTTTAATGTCAATATTAACATTAACTTTATAATCTACAAATTAAATGGCTCCTGTACACAATGACAATAATACCAACTTTTTCTATAATTCAAAATAGAGAGAACCTATTTTCATTGGTCATTGTGTACCGGAACCATAGACATTAATGTTGCCAACTACAAAAAAACATACGAATTATTTAAAAAACGTACCTAAATTTATTTGGTCTCATTTTAGTAACGGTTATTTATTAACAGAAATCGTTTAACAAATTAAATCTATGCATGAAGTGAATTTACACTTCATTATTTTATTCGGTTTTAGCTGCTCTTTTGAACTATTACAGTTGTTCAAATTAAGCGCAGTTTCGTACATTTTTGATCATTATTTCCAATTACATTCAACTCACATTTCATGGAGAGCATTTTTGTCATAACTTCGGTTATTTAAACTGATAAATTATCATGTTTAACAGCACTTGTGAGTCGATTAATTCGGTAAAAAACATAATCTAAATCGATAAATAAAAACCGCTGAGCGACGATCGTCAGCATTGATTGTACGTCATGATTTGCGCTATACAAATATTAGTATCATTCCTATCTAAACATCCATCCATTTACATTACCTTTGTACTTAAAAGTACGCTATTCATTCCCTCCTTATAATATTATTATGCTCATTTCATTATTTAAAACAAAATTACATTCGACTCATCAGAAATTGGTCCTTTTTCGCTTACGGTGAGAAAACCCTGAGGCTTCTCAACAAAGTAGCCAGGACATTAGCTAGGCATTCAGCTCTTAGCGCCAGTTGACCTTCTAAGGTCGAGTTGGTCTCTTGTCCTTGACTTTGAGACTTCTTGGCGTTGTGTTCGTGGATTATTTGTGCCATTTCTGCGCCAGCCAGCTCTTTGAAGGCCGCTGTCACGTCGTGGACTCGAAGGACCAAGTTTCGTGTTTGGAGAGGTGCTGATGTATGTCTACCGAGGGCCTGGAAAATACAAGTTCATAAAAGATTATAAAGAAAGATTATAAATATTTATTTAATGAACGGCGAAGAAAGTGAGCCGACGTTTATGTAAACTAATTGTCTACTAACCTGTGCCAAGTCGGCGAGTGTCCTAAGTGGCGTGAGACAGTGCGCCAGTGCCTGCGCGGCCTGCGCGGGCTGCGCGGCGCCCAGCGCGCCCACCAGCGCGCGCGACATACTCACCAGCGACACCGCGCACGACGTCAGCTCACTGCGAGCACGCTGCACACAGACCATTTTAATATTAAATCTACATGGTAAACTTAAGTATAATACGAAACAGTTATGCAAAACTCACCTGAAACTTGGCCTCATCGATATCTTCGCCACCTCCATGCGCGTGCTGATGCGAGCACTTCTGTGCGACTTGATGAAGTCTCTGCAGCAGACCGTCCACCGCCACCTCCGTCTTACACAGCAGGTTCTCTATCGACACGTGACCGTTGTTCCCTGACTGGAACTCCGGGAACTTTACCGTAGGAGGCGAGGGCGGCGTCGGAATGTCATCCACGACGTCATCCTTAAACCTCACGTGGTTCTGCACCTTGGGAGTAGGACTAGCACTGTCTCTGCGGAACGACTGACGCTCTGACAGAGGCGGACTGAACACTCGCTCGCCAGGAGCACCGTTTAGCAAGTCCGGCCTGTTGCTGAACCGTCTGTTCATCTGCGGTGAGCATAACGATAGCGCCGTGTTGTTCTTTAATATCGTGTTCTTTGTTTCAGAATTCGACCTCACATGTCGAGTCTGTAAACTCATAGAATTATAATTTGGAGATGATCGCACATTCTGAGCATCTTCGTCAGTCAATCTATTTTCTATTTCGAGATTCCTATAAGTGTTTAAGTTGCGTTGGAAGTGTGGCGAGCCAATACTTGCCAACCTTTGCTCGGAGTTCCTGATAGGCGACTGTTTCTGAGCATTCTTCAGTCGAAGCACTTCAATGCTCGGGACGGGAGGTAGAGGCGGCTTTTTGGGAGGTAGTAGTATTGGAGGCGGCGGGGATAGAACTTTGTTCTCTAGTCTCGGCGGTAACTGAGGTGCGTTCTGCGTAGCTTGCTCGTTTATATCGCAAACTACTTTGTAGTTCAGCTTCCTATTGTTCAATGTACTGAAATGGTTGTTCGTTATCTCAACAGCTGTGAGTTCGTTGTTCAAGCAAGTGAATGAGTTGGAGCGCGGTCTCGGTGCGGGCGTGGGAGGTATTTTCGGTGGTCTTTCTGGGGGTTTCTTACAGTCAGAGTTTTTTCTCTTGGCGGCGGCCTTATTTCACATACATCAGGGATGGAGTCAGAGTTCTGTATTTGTGTTTCCACTTTTTCATTTTCATCTGAACTCTCTTCGGATTTATTCTTGTCCTTACTGCAGCAGGAGAACATTCCTTTTCTCTCAACTGTTGGGTACTCTATAACATGAGCCGTCCCATTCGATTGTTTCTCACTTGTTAAACTTTTTCTTTTTCCTTTTGGCGAATCTGATTTCGTTTGATTGGACACTTTATTTTTATCTTTTAGCAAGAGACTATTTCTGGCATCGCTAAGACTTTTTGCTGCAAACATATTTCTAATCTCACTGACACTTAGCGTACCCTTCACAATATCACCATTAGCAGACTTAGCTTCGGCATTTGCTTGTTCGTTTTTAGCTTCAAGTATTTGACTATGATTAGCATAACTAACTTGTTCCCTATCTAAAGTGGACGAGTTAGAAGCTGGCGGAGGTGGAATGATATATGACATAATTTCCTCAGGAGTTAACTCTATTGCTGGCGTCACTTTCACAGTAGGTGGCTGTATCGTAACATTAGCTATAAATTCTTCTAGATCATTCTTTTTTGGTGCGTTTGATAAATTCTCTTGCGAATTTACTTTGTCATCAGCGAATGATGGCGGGACTACGGGTAAAATATGAGGCACTTGCGTAGCACAGTCTAATTCATCGGGCGTTTGTGGGGGAGGTATCAAAGTTAAATCTATAAGCTCAGCATCATTATCAACTACGCTTTCTTGATAAAAGTACGGGTAGTCAGCCGCCTTCGTTTCTTCTTTACTACTCTTCTCTCTAAGTTGTTTCAAATATTCCTTCAGATTAGGTTCCTTATTGTCTTGCGTGGCATCAGGACTAACTAAACCAAAACTAGTCCTGACGCCTTTGGTCGTGGATTTGTTTTGATGTTTCCGTATAGGACTATTTGTGGGTGTATAAAGTGAATCATTGTCACTTTCTGAGTGGCAAATATCATTGTTCAAAGCTATCAACGCATCAGTCAGTCCACAATTATTAAGTATAGCACTGAGTCCTTGAGACTGTCGAGTAGTTAAGCTATTATTGTCTTTACCATTCTCCGGTACATTCAACCCGCTCAACCCTTGATTTATAGTTTCAGTCAGTAGAAGCAAAGAGTCGCTGTGTTTCAGTATGCCGGGCGCGTCGTCCGTCATCCTACTAGTATTAGACTCTGTATCACTCTCTACATTATCTACACAAGTTTCTTTACCAACTAGTTCATCTCTTAAGTTTTCATGATAAGCATCGTAATCACTATTCTCAGTCAAGTATTGTTCGGAATTTTCAACTAGTTTCTGCATCTCTGCTACTCTTCTGAGTACCTCTTCGTTCTTAGCTTCTACGAGTCGTGGGTGGTTCGACGCATTCTCTAAGAGTTCCATGGATAGAACGCTTTGAAGGTCGAAGCCCATACCGTCGTCGAGGTAGCAAGCGTCATTAGGATCGAAGAGTCTGAAGTCATCGTTCCTCTTGCATTTCTCGAAGTGGACATCGTGGCCTAGGAGGCCAGACTTGGAATCATAGCCTATTAGTGGGCTGGAGTTATTGCTATGGTTCCTATTGTTGATGTTGGTGTTCATGTTGGTGTCCAGAGACTTGTTCTGGTCAGGAGTAGAGTGGTAGGGGGGAGGCATGCTAAAGATGGCGTAGTGCTTCTTCGATAAGGTGTTCGGATCGTCGTAGTGGAGGTAGCTCCATTTAGCTGGTACCACGTTGTGTTGCGACAAGTATGGCGGAGCTGAAACATTGAACGATTTTGTTAAATATTGTCTAACTGTAGTACAAGTTCTGCTTTTATTTGAAGTATGAGTACAAACCTATATCTTCAGTCATTGGTTCTCGTTCTTGTTCCACGTTCAGCTCTTGACCAGTCGCTAGGCGGTAGTATCTGAAAAACACCAGATATTACTTAATTAAGTGTCCGACTGTTGTTCTCTGATTTGATATCTGTATTACTGGTACTAAATGTTAATCTTAGGTACGAAATTCGGTTAGAAAAAATCTGCACCGAAACTCAATCTTAAGGTATTTCACTACAATTTCAAAAAGCATTTGTAGTAAGTACTAAGGGTAAGTACCCAGCGATGACAAGAGGCATCTCCGCAGCATCCCGTTCATCCATGAGCAGCGCCAGCACGCGGTCCCGCTGCAGGAAGATGGCCACGTCCGCTCCACCACTCGACCAGTCACGCTTCACCCTGATACCTTCTACCTCTTCTAAAGAAGCAATGGGTTGAGGCTGGAAATGTAAGATTGGCCTGTTATACTGACTGCGGCGATAGGTGACATTATTTATTTATTTATTTGTTTAGTTTAATTCGGGTAACAGCTATTTTACAAAGAATAAAACTTCAGGATATGCTAATACAAATCCAATTATAGGTTTTCACGGCTTAAGCCTCAGTATATCTTTACAGAGGTTTTGCGGATGCAATGCACATAAAAGTATAAACATGGATATTTATTCAAAAAATTCAAGGTTCAGTCGCTTACGCACCCTGGAACTGCTTGTGGTAAACGGATCGAGTCCTAATTCCTTGCATAATCTATTAAAATCCCTACTCACTCGCACAATATAGGAATTCTGTCTATAATTTGAGGAAGAAGTTGGGACAGCAATTGGTGGGTCAAATCGAACCGAGTTTTCACAGTATGATTACCACAGTTATTTTCTATTCTCGTGCTTAACACTAAAAACATGTTTAATGTAGTAATGTAGGTACCTATTGTTGAATTTTTATAATAATACGTTTGGAAATTACACCCGAAACTATTTATTCGGTAGTCAGCCCAACCCATCCAGTCATTTAAAAAAAAAACAAAATGAGACTGTCTTTTTTCTTAGATAATAAGTGGTTTTGAGTGTTAGATAAGTAGTGGCGACTGACCACGGAGTTGGTCCGGCCCACGATGTGGCTGAGTCCGAAGCGCGGCGACACGAGCAGCACGCGCTCCGGCCGACTGCTGCTGAAGCACTTCGCTCCGTAGCTCGGCAGGCCCGCCACTATGTCCAAGTAATGCAACTTCGCCTGGAAATCACAAATCTAAAATTAAAATTCTGATCGTAAATATATCTTTTATAAACTACGTTTAAAAACCGACTTCAATCCCCTCTTTTTTGCAGTCAGTTAATATACTAAAACCTTCTCTTAGGAGAACAAACACTTTTCCGAAAACCGCATTAAAATCGGATCAGCCAATCGCGAGACAATCGCGGACAAACATACTTACATACATACAGGTCAAAATAAGAACCTCATTTTTTTAAGTCGGTTAAAAATAGTTGAAGTACGCTACATTGAAGTGTTCATTTTTTAAATCAAACTGGTAACGCCATCTATTGGTCATATTGTGAACTTAACTTTAAGCTCTGTTTATAGAATCCGTCCAATATAAATTACAATTCCATGAAACCAGTTAAGACGTTTAGTGGATTACTATGAAATGATAAAAATACATAACAAGAAGGTTAGTTTATGTTATTGCGTTCATTTGGTTTGTTTTGTGTGACCACTGACTGCTTAGTTTTAGCTAGGTACGTGGTTCGTTTCCCTATCCAAAGATGTCGCTTTAATAGAATCACGACATTGGAGCTTGTACCTACATATGGGCTTTAAGTAATTATTCATTCCTATTGTAAATAATTGCATATACTGAAAATTGTAGTTAGTAGGTATATAAAAAAGGTATATACTAGCTTATTTTATTTATACAAAATTACAAAGAATTGCATCACATGATGTTAAAAGTAGGTAAGTAATATCAGACTTCCGAATATAACAATGACTAAATTAAAATTAAAATACTTTAAAAATACATACACAAAATTCGCTACTAAAATATCACAATTGTACATACCTGCAACTGCGTCAACTGCCGCTGGCTGCCAGTCATCTGAGAGTTCATTTTGAGGAAGTGTGCGATCAGTCGACGGAGCTCCTTCCTCTTCATACTCTCCAGTAGACCGCTCGGAACAAACCGTTCCAAACCGAACTCCCTCCTATAATGTAGAACATGTCACTGTATCAATATTATTCTTTGTTGAAGTAATCATATTGCGTAATCCATTTCCTTGCCTCAACTTGTTTTGGTTTCATTTCGTCAATATTTTTGTTGTCATCCGTTGTATGTAATCGTATTAATGATTTGTCTTTCTTTAAACATAATAGAGCTACGGTTTCAGTTTTCTGTCATAAGACAAGTCAAATATCTATAAAGATATTTGTAAACAGTTACCAAATTCAGTAACTGTAATAATCGAAAGAACATATAATGAATGATACACATCTTTTCAGTCTATATCTGCAAGCTAAACCAGCAGGCACTAATGAAGATTTTTCTTTCGACAGATTTTCATTCGAACAAAATAATCATTTTTATACTAACTATCTGGACACTTACTAAATTAACTAACAATGACGAGTTACTCACGTGATTGTACTGAGAAAAGCTCTACTAGTTTCGAGTCACAGAGGGACTCTTCTTTATGAGCAGCGTACGCGGTCGTGACAACGCCACTTTGCCAGTATATTCACGTTAGTAACTCGTCATTCATTCTTAGTTAAAATCACATATTGTTTATTGATTATGATTAAAATTCTCATACACATGTCTAGTATCACTTCTATTTAACTAAGAAAGAAATTAAAATGGAAAACTTACTCGACAGCCTTCACAGTGAGTTTGGCAGGTGGCAGATTGTTGGCTAGTGCATGTTGGTGCATGTGCAACGCAGCCAGTCGCAGCGCCACTTCAGGCTGCAGCTCGGGGGCGAAGCGCTCCTGTGCCACATCATTACAGCTCTGCAGGTACAGGTACTCCAACGCCGCCAGGTCGCGCTGTGCCAGCTCAGCTGCTGACGCCGGCATGAACACTACTCGGAACAGGCACCGCATCTTGTAGGACCCCGGCCGCGCCGCGATCTGGTCATTGCAGGAGTCTTTTGTTATTTAGCAGGACTAGATAATGAAAATCAAGTCTTGGTTAGCCGAACACATATTTTGAAACGGAGACTATGCTCCTCAACTTGCTGAAGTTACGATATCCGCTCAGTGGCTGGCAGTCGTAGGATACGAAGAACTGAAGATCAAACAAAGTGACATGCTAGTGGATGTTGATGACGACGATGCTTGACAAGAAATTATTGATCAAATGATCAGAATATACTTCAAATGGTGTGAGAGTGAGCATTGCCAAAGGTGCATCAATCAAACTCAATCAAACTCAGAGGTTGATCGTGAAATTCTGCCAAGTCATGAGTTCTTTGCCCAAAAACCAAACACAAACTTCCAACTACATAGCCAATATACAGCCCCTATAAAGGAAACCATTGCAAAATTTTGTTCAACCATCATTATACCAAATACTACTGACTTACCCAACTGATTACCTGGGGATAAAGAATATTCTGCTTTACACAAATGTACAACAAACAAAGATCAAGACACATGGAGAAATTGGAAGAAAATAAATAAATAAAACATGGCAAAAATGGGGTCTTAATCTGCAAAGGTCATAGTTACCCTGGCCAAGGATTCCTTGGGGTCTAGCAGTGTCAGCTTGTTTCTTTTCAAACTCTTGACATGTTCCACCACCAGGCTGAAGTGCTCCTCAGCAGTGATGCAGAGTTTGTCCTTGAGGCTGGACACCACATCTGCTACTGTAGTTGTAGTGTCATATTTGAAGGATTTCGTCTGACCATTCTCTAGAAACACTTTTAATACATTTGCCATGGGAGGCAGGCAGAGGTCCCCGAGAGAGAATGCTGATGGCTGTAACAGAAATGATCAATTGGCTTACTCAAATGAATCCCGATAAAAGAACAAATTCGCTTTGATTTTATTGATTGTTATAATGTAACGTCGATGCGACGATTCGATAAGTATCTTTCTCTAACTGTCTTGTACTCAAAAACTATTTTTTTTCGGGGTGCAATATCATCATAAAGGAATACTTACAGGATACATAGGAGCACCATTCAGCTGAACAGAATCAGCGAACCTGACCCTAGGTGGCCTCGCTCGTAACCTCGCTCTCTTGGCAGCAGACAGTAGCGCTGATCTTCTCATGGGGTTCCCACTCCTCGCTGGCTGGCAGACCCTTAAGGTCACTCGCTCAGAACATGCTCTTACAGCTGTGATCACATGCTCGCGGGCTGCTAAGCTAACATCCTCTCCGTTAACGCACAGGATTTGGTCTCCAGGTTCCAGCTGGAATTTAGAATTGAAGTTTTACTCAATGTCATATGTGTGATAACTTCTGATTAATCCCGTAGCAAAAGTACATCCACAAAAAAATATTTTCCATATAATGGTATCTGCTTACCTTGCCGACACTAGGCGAGTTATCCGTGACGAATCGCACTAACACAGGTCTTTCGGAGCCAGCCACGAACCCGAACCCCAGTTCAGGGTCTCTCTCCAGTACCACGTCTCGTGGAGCGGGGGGAGACTCACACGAGCATCCTTCAGGAGCCACGTACGTTGTTGTTTTGTTGACGTGGCTGTAAAATAGAAGATGAAACGTTGGTTAATCCTGAATGGAGGGGAGAGGAGCATGATTAGCAGGCTGTTGATGATGACAATGATGTTGAATTCTTAAAGAAAATGCAGAGGTTTTTAGTCTTTAGATAAATATAATAAACTTGCTGATTATAATTCATAAAACTACGAGTTGATGGTGATTATAGACTCTTAACCTAACTAATACTTTAATTAACCACTTAATCAACTCTGTACTCACTTGATGTAATAAGGTTTCCCGTGGCAGTCCAGCGCCTGTTCCCATCCATAGGGCAGTTCCTCCTCATCCTGCTCGGAGCCGCTGCCGCTGCCATCCTTCCCAACTGGCCAGCTTTCTGCAGGAGGAAGCCAGCTGGCTGTTCTGGTGATGTGGCTGGAAAAGAACGAAATGAGATGTTATTTTAGGAACCATTGAGATATTTAACGTCTTTACGAGAGGTTCTTGTAAAGAAAAACGTTTTGACAGTCCTTTTCAAGATTACGTGGTTAATTTGGTGTAACATTATTAATGTTACTGAAACTACACTTGCCCTGGTAGTGAGAAGATTTCTTTCATCTCATTATTTTCTCATGGTACTCATAAACTTAGTTTTAACTCGTCGAGTACCGGTTTTATTGACACAATTAAAGAACAATAGGTCGCGGTCACCGGTGACCGCTTGGTGTTTGACAGATTAATATCTAACCGCAGACAAAATTTTAGACAAAAAGATTTTAGATACCTTTCCGTTGTTCTATAGCCAGAACAAAACTATACTTTCCGGACGAAACAAATCATAAATGATACATACATTGCTAACAATAACCTTTTAATATACAATTTATATGCAGACTAAAGACTAGCTGACTAATTTTGTACCTTATAGTCCTATAACGCAATAGTAAAAATGATTATGAATCATTTGTTAGTAAGGACTATTATAGTGGCATACATAAATTAGGGTTATACAAAATGTACGGATGGTATCGTCGCGTGGCAACGTGCCAAGGACACTGGTAGCCTGGCGGGTCCGTACTTCCTCAGTGCAATCTAATTGACCTTCTGCAACCATAAGGATACTTAATACCTACAGTAGTCAAAAGAGAGATTGCTTTATAGAGTAGAAGAATAGTAGTAGCACGGAGTCTGGAATTGTGCCCGGTATATGGCAATAGGCTCACCCCCTATTACTTTGACTCATAACATAATAGTGAAAGTGAGTGTTACATTGTACAATGTCATAATATGCATCTCTGCCTATCCCTTTGGGGATAAAAGGCGTGTTATAAATAATAGTTAATATTTCATCGTTTGTCTTGTTAAAGGCTTGAAGTCTCTATCTGTATAATTTCTTGCTTGATCACTACTACTTTCAGATGATGTTGGGTAAAATATAATTAAATATGTTAAATGTATCTAAACTGTTGTATGGTTCCAAAATTAAAGGTAAATGAGCTAATGAACTGATGTGTGTGAAGTGAGTGACACGTGGCCTTTGCTGGCCGTAATGAGAACGCCCGACTTGATGGCTTGATGGATCAATATCATAAAATTAAATGAATGTGAGGCGTAAATACTGACGATGCTATACGATGTGCAGTTGCACCGTAAACTATCCGTCTCTTATTTATTGTCTGTGTCATGTAATGAGATATTGATATTACGAATTCTTTAAATTCAATCCTTTTATAGGCAAAGAACATTAAAAAAAAAGAATTGATCAAATTCATACAGGCGTTGTTGAGTCATGTGCTTACCAATACATTTTGCGATTGACAAGTTTGAAAAAGTAAGTCATGAAGTGTCATTGTTTTGGTTACAGTTATTTGGAGTATCTTTAATTAAGACAATGACATTTTGAATTCAGAACCTGAATAACAAACCTTCATTTATTAACTTTCAAAGACTTAAATAACTTTATTAACATAACCTTTCATCCAAATTTTAATCCAACCTTCAATTCCTTGTCCAGATTTCATTAAAGAATGCAACAGTAATGACAGGGCATCACAATAAAGAGCTATTATTTTAAAATACACCCCCAGTGAACCACACCGACATCAATCTTGCTTTTTTAATTTAGCCAAGAAAAATGCTTTAGAGTGGCGCTGTGATCGCTTTGTTCCGTGAAACAATACCCACCCGCTCTAAATATATGTAGCTCTGTGGTTTTTTTAATTCAAATATTGTTCTACAGAAGGTTTGGTTCGAAATTTGAACCTGGTTCAGCTGAAGATGTTCTTTTTTTCACACTATGATTTCCTCCTGTGTCGTGGGTATGTTTACAAACATACAAGTTCACATGCACATGACACCCAGACTCTGAATAACAATTTGTGGATCACACAAAGAGTGGTTCTGTGCGGGAATCGAACCCGCGACACGTTACGCGGCAGCCGGTTGCCCAGCCACCGTACGAACCGATCTTGATACTTAGATAAAGTTAAATAGGTACTTAATTTAATAAAATATCGACAGTTAATAATGCTATAGGTAATCACACACAATAAACGATTCTCATAAATACTGAGAATATGGGAATATAACATAACATCACGCCTTTTATTTCCGAAGAGGTAGGCAGAGGTGTACATTAAGCCACTGTACAATGTAACAGCCACTTTTCACTATTATGTTATGAGTCCCATGTAATAGGGGGTGAGTCAATTACCACAGGGCACAATTCCAGACTCCGTGCTACTTCTGAGAATTTTTTAAAACACCAGTAATACTTTGCCCGAGCCGGGAATCGAACCTGAGACCCCTTGCCCCGGTAGTCGCACTTGCGACTGATATGAGAATATAGACTTTAAAAATTTCTATAATAGGTACTTGATCTCGGAACCTCGACTAAACATATTTGTGGCACTTCTGTATCGCATTTATTATTTTTGTTAAAGATTACTTATTTTTCTGTATTTGTTTGAATCGTTTGATAAAATGTAATCTCTTTTGATGTATATTTGTTATTTAAATTTAACCTAAAAAAATACCATATTGGCTATAATTTAATTTTAAAATTGTTCAAAATGTAAATTAATATTTATTAGAATGGTTCGATGGTCAAGATTAATAATATAAACTACCCATCTGTGAAAATTACAAACCGCGTAAGTATTACTAACTTTATGAACTCACAAAGCAACTTGTACAAAGAAGTATGTGTGGTGTTTCTCAAGGTAGTGTTTTCGGACCACCTTGTTTTTTGAGTGTCTATTGCAATAATGTTTTTAGATTAGTGTGTGTTAATAGAGTATTTAACCAAAATACTCTAAGAGAAGTATGTTTGCAACCAAAAACGCTGTCAAAATGAAATATCTCCATAAAATAATAACCAATATGCAGATCTTGTCCTACCCCATCACTGCACACACACACACAAATTGATAGTTCCCTCCTCCCTTTGAAGTTGATAGAGAATTTTATCCATGTGATATCGAGGTCCTTTTCCAAGAAAACCCGATACAAAAAAACCTATGCAAAGGAAATTACGTAACGTAAAAAAGGGTTTTTCTTTCATCGTAAACAAAATAGTAAATTACATTGATGAAATAAGTTGTTACCAGGAATAAATATAAAGTTCACTTTCGTAATAAAATTTATAGGGGGTTCAATGGTCAAACGTACTCAACCGCTTTACGCTTATGAAATAGGGTGTGGACATAGTGATGAAGGGTCGGCGTTTTTTTTATCTTATAAGTGACATGTATAATATTATTTTGAGCAATTTTCACTATAATAACTATGAACACGGGTGAATTTCAAAGTCAATGTTGTTTTTAACTCAATCTTATACTATTATCTTATACTCTTATACTATTATATAAAGCGGAAGAGTTTGTTTTTTTGTTTGTTTGTTTGGACGCGCTAATCTCCGTAACTACAAGTCTGATTTGAATAATTCTTTTTGTGTTGGATAGCGCATTTATCGAGAATGGCTATAGGCTATAAAACATCACGCTACGACCAATAGGAGCTGAGCAGAGCGTGTGAAACCGCGCGGAAGTAGCTAGTTTTTACATAAAATGGAACAGATATACACACCATAACAGCACTTAAACAGTATATATAATATTATCCCAAATCCAATAATTACTATTTTTATCTATCAAATCACATATTGGATCGATTTTCAGGTTTTCATATTAGTTAGCATACTTATTTGTGTCCATTCGGACCAAATACAATTTAGCGATTTACTTAGTCAAGTCACCCAACATTAACTATAATAATAAAGAAACAGCAAGAAGAAACCTTAGACTTATCAGGACTTCTAGATTTCATTACTTTTTAGAGATGAATGTCTTGGCTAGTTTTTTACAGAATGTTTTTGGTTGATTTATATTTCAGATTCAGCTCACCATGTAACAAAATGCAAGCTCATACAATATTTACGTTAATCAACGTAGTTACATTTTTATTTACGTCACGTGACATAATCTGCCGTAATAGCACGTATTACGTTTACGTGCATTACGCGACGCCGTAATACCGGCCACATTTGGCAACATTCTACATTAGGGTGCTGTGTGTGTACGTAAGGTGTTTTTGTTTTATTTTGGTAATTTATTTGTTGAACTGTTAGATATATATATAACTAGCTTTTACCCGCGGCTTCGCTCGCGTCACAAAAGGATAAAAAGTAGCCTATGTGACATATACCAATACATACAGCGCCATCTATACCAATTCTTTTGTTTTCCCTCGGGAGTATCAAATTTTTAGGGGATAAAAAGTACCCTATTATTTAATCCAGACTTTTAACTTTACGTCTGCAAAAATTCAAAGCAATCGGTTTAGTAGTTACGGCGTGAAATCGGAACAAACAAACAAACTCAGTTTCCGATTTATAATATTAGTGAGAAAGAAAGAAAGAAAGAAAGAAAGATCATTTATTTGTAAAACATGCGTATACATAAATCGAGTAATCAGACATGCAAGATGTTAAATAATATGTTGTGCGTCCATGTTTCGCCAATAGTGGCATACAAATTTTATAAATAAAAGATTATATTCAATTTCATTAAAATCAGCAATTTGTACAATAATAGTCCTTATTAAATTACATTACAGAGATAAACATTTGAATATAGGATATATGTCTCAAGATTTGTTCGTTGCCACAGGATACTATGAATAGGGTACTAGTGCGACGTGCTCCATCGTAGCATTATCCTCACTCCGCATGATCGGTTACAACCAGACGAGATAGTGGTTAAATATAAAAAAAAATATCCCGAAATTCCGAGCAAAACTAGACAACACAGAATTACAGACAATGAGACAAATAATTATGTTTAGGACTTACTTATTTATTTATTTATTTACACTTTAATGCACACAAAATAAGGTACATAAGGCGGACTTAATGCCATATGGCATTTTCTCCCAGTCAACCTTTGGGTTAAAAGTAAGCTCAGCGAAAATGGGCTTGTGTAATAATTATGCAAAAAAAAAAAAAAAACAAAATAAATAACTAATAGCAATAATAAATACTGTATAACATAATGTATGAAAATATATAATAAATAAAAAAATATGTACATAAATAACTACATATATATAATTATAATAATATAATATAAATTGACGAAGACACGACTTACGTAAGGACATATCTATCCTTTTTACTAAACTTTGTCGAACATATATTATTTTGTGTCGATTTTAATCGTAGCCGTACCTACTTACAATATGAATTTTATTACCTTGGAAAAACAAGTTTAAAAATTTAATATTTGCTTAAAACACAAAACTACAGTCGTCTATAGCAAAGAAAATACCCACAAAATGTACATTTACTAACTTATTTTAATAAAAACACGTTTCAAAACATTTCTATTCACGAGTTTTCAGGCGAAAAACAAACAAAAACAAAATAATCTCGAATGCGGAGAACACCAAGCGGTTGTGGTAAACGGTTAATAACCGGCCCGTACCGGAACGGCTCGGGGACCGGACAAATTGCAGGTACGAATGCACGAACGACCGGCGACGGCGCGCCAACGGTCCGTAATCAGTGTTGTTTGGGACCGTCTCCGTTTATTTTTTGTGACATCCTGTGTACTCGTGTTTCTGCGTATTTATTAAAGTGACGAATCAGATAGAATAATAGGTGTTGATGTGATGCGAAGATATTTCATTAATAATAATTTTTTTATGGCATAAGCCGGTAAACGAGCTGACGGATCACCTGATGGTAAGCAATCGGTGTCGCCCATGGACACCTGGAATACCAGAGGCATTTCAAGTGTGTTACTGGCTTTTTGGGGATTAGGAGTTTGGGGATCGTTGGGGATTCAGGGATTGGGGAGATTGGGGAAGGGGAGGGTAATTGGGCCTCCGGTAACCTCACTCACACGACGAAACACAACGCAAGAGTTGCTACACGTCGGTTTTCTGTGAGGCCGTGGTATCACTCCGGTCGACCCGGCCCTTTCGTGCCGAAGCATGGCTCTCCCACACTTAATTATTTGTAGGTTTTTATTTTCTATCCATATTCGTTTGCTGTCCCTTCTACCTTTGTCGTACCTAATCATTATGAGCGCACACTTGTGCTTAAACAATTACGTAAGCATATTAAAACAAAAAGACATAAAGATAGTAAATTCCGACACCATTATTAAAATGGTTTTACGTTTGTGACGTGAGGTGACGTGAGTGTCACAAAATCATGGTTACACTAGCCCATGAATTGGCTGAACGTTCGACATCGGACAATTACATACGTAGTTACATTATGTGGTGGCACTACGTCGCTGGATT